CTGTGTATGAATGCAGACCCCAGCGCTGCCTTCTCCCAGCGGGCAGCCAATAGTCCTGTGTGTTCACATCTCCTGAAACTTGAGGGAACTAAAATTCAACAAGACTTCCCATTTCATTTTCTTGGTTTCAAGTCTCACTAGCCACATAATGGTTATGTTTTAGACAATATCCATCATGGGACAGCAGCACAGAATGTTATATAAAGTATATTGTTCGATAACTATGGTTCTCAACCTGTGGATTCCAACCCTTTAGTAGGTCAAACGACCCTTTCATGAGGACCACCTAAGGTCATTGGAAACCACAGATGTTTATATTATAATTCCTAACAGTAGCAAAATTACAGCTATGATGTAGCAATAAAAATAATTTTTGATTGGGGGACTCACCCCAACATGAGGGCTGCATTAAAGGGTCATAGTGTTAGGAAGGCTGAGAACTACTCTAGAATAGCTCACATGTAGTGTGTTTACCTTATAGTAAGAATAAATAACAGCTTATTGCAGGAAGATAGAATGGCATTAGTCTAATATTACTGCAATCTTCAGTGAGAATATGTCAAGTCCTCATTGGTCACAAATGATGAATTCATCGTCCATGGAATATATGCTATGTTAACTTGTTAAAGGTTCTAAAACACTGAGAAAACCATAAAGAATCAAAAGCAACCCAGTTAAGTAAACCAGCCATTCCAAATGTAAGGGGGGGAAGTCTAGACACTGTCAAAAATTTACCCCTTCAGAGGATTAGCAAGATGTGTAGGTTCTAGGAAAATTAATCAAACAGGAACACACACACACACACACACACACACACACACACACACAAACCATTTAGAATGATAAAAAGGGTAGGAGTAATTTCCTTTTTAATTTTAAAAATATTTTAAATGCCATTTCTATTGAGTACATCTTGTTTTTGAAGCACTGTATGCTAAAAAGTAATTTGTGTGCATCAACACTGGTGTTAGCTACACTAATAGACACAACAGTGACTTCTACAAACTCACCAAGCTGGATGATTTCTTTAAAAAATGAGCAACAGCATTCCAGTTAATTGCGAGCGTCATGCTAAAAAATGAAGTAATACAAAACAGTAGAAACTGAGGTGAAAGAGGCACTGTGGTTTGTCCTGTCCTGTGTAAGGCATGGCTAACATGGCCGTCCAGAGAAGGGAAGGGAAGGAAACCAGGAAAGCCCGGCGTAGAGTGAGCCAGGGTCTCAAGATGATTGCTAAATGTCTCGGGCAGCTTCAGCAGACTTGTATCTAACCACATGCTTGCCATCTCATTAGATGTATGATGCATATGATATTGAGTTTGGCTAATAAAATAACTTGGGAGGCACAGTAAAAGTATGAGAAAATAGAAGTGAAATAACACCACAAATAACCCGGAAACAAGACTCCTTCTATTTGAATTTTGTTTTGTGTGCATCACTACAACTCCCTTAAACAATCAGAATATTTTGAAGTAAATTATTTTCATATCATGACATTAAGAAACAAAATAAATATATCATTATACACGTTTAAACACATCTTTAGAGGAAAAAGAAAAATACAACACAGATTAAATGCTAACATGTATTAGAAAGAATCAGACGGCTGGAGCAGTGGCTCAGGGGTTAAGAACACTTACTCTTGCAGAGGACCCGGGTTTGATTCCCAGCACCCGCATAGTGGTTCATTGCAGCCCCAAATTCCCATTCCAGGCTATGCATTGATGCGTATGATGCACAGACATGTATTTGAGCAAAACCCTCATGTGCAATAAATCACACAATAAAAAATTTTAGAAAGAGAAAGAACAAGAAGTTCGCTTGGACCTGTAGAAGTTCTAGAACACCTCCATTTGCCGTCTGCTTCTGAGTAAATGTGAGGATAGCACTGTATGCTGGCCTGCCGGCAGTCACTTCACTGTGTGTGCATACTAGGTCCTATACCTGGTGCTTATTAATGTAACCCGGTTGCTTGCTAGAACTTCAGCTTTCCATGGGTCTGTCTTTTTTAACAATGAGATAAAATACCACGAGCCTCCATTCCCCACAGGCTCCAAGTCCTCCAACACCTATCACAACGTTCTGGGAACTTTCGGCGGGTTTGTGTAGGATGAGGGAGCGTGGGCAACAGGTGCCTGCTCGCGTCTTCTCTTTGTGGAGGGCCGCAACCACATTCTCCATTACAGGATGGCACTGGCATCCGGTTTCACCACCAGGTGAACAAGATAATGAGCAAGTAATTGGTAATTTTCCACTGCTGCGTCCCCGCCTACTCCCGAGGCGTCATCTGGGTTGATGGGCAGCAGACCAATCCAGGAGTGACACATCTGAAGCGAGGACTGTTTCCTATATAAGGGATGGGTTCCCCTCATTCTGGGTCTCCGCTTTGGAAGCTTATGCTCTCTCTCTCTCAAGACGCATTAAAGCTTTTCTGCAGAAGGATCCTAAGTGTGCCGGGTCGTTCTTGCTAGCGAGACGGTAGCGCGGGACACCTCTTCGAGATTTCTTCGCGCCGACTGAATTAGCCACTATCTTCCTTTATCCGCTGTTTTATGCCAGTCTGGAATTTTCCCCCTCTGTTTATTCCCATAAATGTTCTCACACTCATTCTGGCAACATACTTTTCTGGGCAGCAGGAGGAAAAGATAAGTACACGGAGTTCCGAGGACAAGCTTGCCTACCCCGCATCTAACGGTTCTCTCTTTAAAAAGAACTTTTCCATCCATTTCTTTTTTCCTCCAAACTGTTCCAAACTCACATCCTCTTCTCTGCAGAAGCTGCCGGTATCTGACTTCAAATACCTACGAACATAGAAAGGGACCGAGACTTACAGAGAGGGTCCAGTAGCCTTGCTCGTTGTACGTGAAAGAAATACCACGATGACATTATCTAATCCAGTCAGTAATTCTTGCCTTATGTAGCCTTTGGTCCACTTGAATGGAAACGGTCTCTCAAAAGAACATCCGTAGCCGGGTGTGTTGGTGCGAACCTATCACCCCAGTCCTAGGGAGACTGAAACGGCTACTGAATTCAAGACCAGCCTAGGCTACATAACACTGTAGTAAGACTGTTTCCAAAGCACTAACAAACCCTTGCAAAAACAGCAGAAGAAACCTGTGTTCTCCCACAAGCCCCGGCAGCCCAATGCACACCTCCAGCAAGTGGCTGTTGTCTTCATTTTGTCGTTGGAGCAACTGGAGCTGAGGAGACTAAATGTGGCTGTTTACCCAGCAGACAAAAAGCAAAGCTGTCTCCGTACACGGCTTCTCCAGCTCTGCCTGGGCCTGAGAGTGCAAGTTAGCAGAGCAAGGGCCTGGGTTTCATCGCCAGCACCGCCAAAGTGAAAGAATAAATCTGTGTCCACACTGCACTCTAGCCACGCATCCTGACAGAGAAAGGCGGCACTTTACGCTCTGTGTGGAAAGAAAGATTGGTCAGTGTTTAGTCTTTAGAGTACATGCACACATTTCAGCAAATGGATTTGCAGCTATTATGTGGTCAAGGCTTTGTGATATAAATGTATTCCTTCAGTGTGCATTTCCACTTTTTAAAATGTCTGTTTTGTGCTTTACAATAGATGATTTGAAACCTAGAAAGAAAGAAAGAAAGAAAGGAAAGAAGGAAGGAAGGAGAAAAGAGAGAGAGAGAAAGAAGGAAAGAAGGAAAAAAGAAAGGAAGAAAGAAAAAAGAAAGAAAGAAAAAGAGAAATCCAGAGTTTCGCAGAGGTGAGGGTGGGAAGATTTCGCCTGGAAGGAAAGATATGTAAGTGAGACCTGGACCAGGCATAATGAAGACTCGGGTAAGCGGGCAGGGGGCAGATAAAAAGGCACTGGCTATTTGATGGGACATAGAAGAGCATCTAAAGTAGCACCAGAGTTTCTAGTTGGTTTGGCGGGAATCATCTACTCACTGAACTAAATGTGAATTCTCTGCGAGGCACAGTACGCCAGGCCCGTGCCAAGCACTGTGGGAACTACCAGGAAGGTGAAAGTCGGGGATGAGAAGGAAGATGAGGTGTCTCAAAGGTGAGATCTGGAGAGCACTGTCCAGCAGGCGGCAGGAAATGTCAAACCCACTGGCCTGGAAGACAGAGATGCCCAGGGAACACCAGGGGGCAGTACACGCTCACCAACGGCGGGCGGGGGTGCCAACGGCTAATCTACTAAGTCTTATTCTTTGCATCAGAAATATTAAAATGCCATTTTCTTGCACGAGCACTTAATATTTTAAAAAATAATCTTAACTCGTTCAGTGATTTATTTAAACATAAACTTTCCCCTTTGGAGGAGCCCCAAGAAGCAGGATACGTGTACTAATATTGCTGACCTCTTACATAACATGAATCATCAGAAACCAGAAGAAACATACATAGGGTTAGGACCTATATAGGAACATATGCTCCTTCCAGATGAACATATACTCCTAATGAACAAATATCCCTATTAATTTGCACACCACCGTGTTTCCACTTTATAAACTTATAGTTGCTCTGGTGGGCAGGAATGGATATACTGCCCTGAGAATCTTGAAATGTTACTGTTCCGTGGTTAGTTACTAATCACCATCTTTGCCTTCCTGCCTGTGTCCAGCGCATCAGTTTCTGTACTTAGCGTAACCGCTTCACTTTGCTTTCCACTCCATCCCACCAGACACCCTTCGCACTTAGGAAGCTCCTCCTCTTGGGCTATTTTATCTTTTTCGTTCAATGAGTTCCCTGCCTTCCAACCTCCTATGTGGCTCCTGCAGTAAGCGGGTTCTGTCACTAGGAAGTGGGCAGGTGCCAGAGTTCAACACAGAACCATCCCAAGGGAGAAAGAACTCAGGAAAGACCCCGGTAGGACAGAAAAGACATCCTCACCCCCAAAGCTCCTTTAGAAAGATGCTATTATCAATTAAAGTCAAGCACACATTGTGGATCTGATGGTGTGTAAAGCTATGGTTTGCATTTTACTGTATAGAGTTAATCTTAATTGTTCAATAAATGGCAAGAGGCTGTTTCCAAACTGTGGGATACTTCTTTGTTGGTCACTTGTTTCATTTATCTAATTTCAAATTACTGAAACTTTTCAGGCATTGATCCATAGCACATTCAACAAAGTAAAAAACATGAAAACATCAGAAGAAGCTCATATTACAAACAATCTATCCATCAACACAAATGTCTGTTTCTGGGACTTAGTGGAACCCAAAGGGGCAAAGGGAAGCACATGTTAAAAAAAAACTGGCACAAAGGAGAGAGACTAAATAAAAAATAATCCAGTGGAAACATCTGGAGATGAAGAACATTCTATAAAGCAACTGTCAACATTATGCGGGAGAGACTGTCCGCTGTTAGCCGCAAGGCAACTGAATGTGATAGATGATTGCAAAACAGGAAAAGATGTTGCGCTGTGTGTGTGTGTGTGTGTGTGTGTGTGTGTGTGTGTGTATACATATATACATATTGAACTTCAAGACCATCCTGGACTATGTCGCCAGACCTTGTTTTCAGAAAGAAAGATTGAGCTAATTGGAAAAAATGCAAATTTGGTCTTTATATTAGACAAAGTATTATAGCAATGGTACACTTCCTGAACTTGATTTTTGTGCCACAATTACATAAAGAAATATTATTATTCTTATTTGGAATAGTTGTTCCCAGATATGGCACTATATCAAAGGCTGTGGCATTATAAAGAGGTGGAACCAAGCTGATAAAAGATGCTCTCTAAAGATGGACCCTAAGTCACAGTAACTATTGGTTCTGGCCTTTGTCCCCTGCTTCCTGGCACACTGTGGGCAGAAGTCCCTGCTATACATTCCCACCACCATGGATGCCACCAGGCCCCTTTCTCTGTGGTAGACTGAAAGACCCTGAAACTGAGTCGTGAGAAGCTTAAGTTGCCTTCCTCAGGTATGTTGTCACCGGACTGAGACAAGTCAGCGACACGTACAGACGGAAGTATTTAAGGGGAAATGGGCCGACGCTGGGAAATCATAACAGAATCCCGCAGAAAGAAATGTGGGTGGGGTTGGGAATAGGGATCTATGGGCTAAAGAACTTGCTGTGAAAGTGTGGAGACGTGAGTTCAAATCCCTAACACTGATATACCAAGGTATGTGTGGCCACATACCCTTACAATGCCATTGTTGTTGGGGGCAGAGGCAGGGGAATTGCTGGGGCTTGCTGGTTTCCAGGCTAGCTTCACATTCAGAGAGGAAGAGTCTGTCTCAAGGAAGCATACTACAGCTGGACACTCAATGTCCTCTGGTCTCTGTATACCTGGACCTGTGAACATGAGAAAGAGAGAGAGAGAGAGAGAGAGAGAGAGAGAGAGAGACTTTTATTTTTTTATTTTTTTTTTGCTTTACATGATATTTTTATTATATGTACACTATATATTCACATATCACCAACACTTCAAAGCTTTTTTTTAGCTAGAAGTATTTTCATTTTCTACTCATGTGTGTCTTTCCTATCACAAAGGTCTACGGTGAACATTTTCTATCGAATCTTTAGCCAAATGCTTATCAGTTGTTCTCGAGTTTTGAAATTCAATACCGCCATTAGTCTGCTAGAACCATCCATTTCCCTTGTCTCATTTGTCAGATGAAACAACATCCAGCGCTGATGAGCAGGAGAAGAGATGTTGGGTCTACACCTTGGAACGGTCACTTCACTTGGAGCTGGTGTACTTGGTGACGGCCTTGGTGCCCTCGGACACGGCGTGCTTGGCCAGCTCCCCGGGCAGCAGCAGGCGCACGGCCGTCTGGATCTCCCGGGACGTGATGGTCGAGCGCTTGTTGTAGTGCGCCAGGCGCGACGCCTCGCCCGCGATGCGCTCGAAGATGTCGTTGACGAACGAGTTCATGATGCCCATGGCTTTGGAGGAGATGCCGGTGTCGGGGTGGACCTGCTTCAGCACCTTGTACACGTACACCGAGTAGCTCTCCTTGCGGCTGCACTTGCGCTTCTTGCCGTCCTTCTTCTGCACCTTGGTCACGGCCTTCTTGGAGCCCTTCTTCGGGGCGGGCGCGGATTTCGCTGGCTCTGGCATCTTGAGATCTCCAAACACAGGAAGCTCAATCGAGAGAGAGACTTTTAAATGTTGTATACAGCTGGCAAGATTGTTTAACGGGAAAAGACGAGACTGGTGTGTTCTGAGTTTGGTCCCCAGGACCCACACTGTAGAGAAACCCGAGAACTAACTTGTGCATGTAGTCCTCTGACCTGCACACACGTGCATGCACGTGTTTGCTTTCAATCTGTGTCTTTGGCAGGCGCATAACAGATGTTGGTGATGTGCTTGCTATTTCAATTTGGCCTATTATTGATGTTGTCCTTCAACTACCTGACTAAGTCTGGCGTCTGTCAGTCAGCTCCAAGGTAAAGGTGCTCTTCGCATCTTTGTAATGAGGAAGCCTTCCGCGTAGAGGTACTTTGGGAATGGTATCTCCATCCTCATCGAATTCATAATTTATTACCATCAATGAGGGTTTACAGCTTCCTGTTCTAGGCAGTGGATTCAGATTCACCGAGGTTACTGCCCTTGCCAAGCTTCTGTTTGCAGTGATAAAGCACTGGCCAAGAACAACCTGGGGGAGGGTACAGTTGGGCACCAATGAAGCCAGGGCAGGAACTCAAGGCAGGAACTTAGAGGTGGGAACCAAAGCAGAGGCCACAGAGGGGTGCTGCCTTCTGACTCATTCTCTGTGTCCTAGTCAGGTGAGTTTCTTATTCCTCTCAAGACCACTGTCCAGGGGTAGGAAGCCTGCTGAGGGTTTGGCCCTCGCACATCAATCAATAATCAAGAAAATGTACGACAGGTGTGCTCGTGGGCCAGCCTGGTGGATGTGGTTCCTCAATGGAAGTTCCCTCTTTCCAGATGACTACAGTTTGTCAGGTTAACCAAACCAACCAGCGCTGCTACTGAAATTCAAATTGTCCCAGCTGTGACCCACGGGGACTTTTTAAAATTAGTCCTGTAAGCATGCCATCATCCTTCTTTGAGTATTTTGTTTTTCAGTTTTCATTCCAATAGATGTTTCCCTTTCATTTTACAATCTTCACCACCTAGCCTTGGGGGAGGGGAGGACGAGTTCTCTTTCATGGTAGGTAGTATTATATAATCCAAATCTGGGTTCCAGGAAGCTTGTTCTTTGATATCAGGGTACCACTTCTCCCAGACTCTCAGTGGATGGAGCAGGACATATAAATAAAGATGTCTATATATATTTGTTTGTTTACTTCTGTACACAGTCAGCTCTCCAAACCCATGGGCCCTGCATCTACATATTCAAACATATTCAACCAAACACAGACTAAAAGTATTTATTTTTGAAAAAATTCCAGTAAGTTGCCAAAAATGAAATTTGAATCAGCACTATGATAGTCAGTTTTGATGGTCAAGGTCATAGGACCCAGAATCCACTAAGACAGATGCCTCTGGGTGGGTCTTTGAGGGCATTTCAAGGTTAACTGTATTTAAAAGTCTTAAGGAAACTCACTACTTTGTATGCTAATTAAGAAATATAATTTTTTAAAAAATATATGAACAGAATTGCTTTTGCCTGAATTGACAGTTCATGCAGACATGGGTTATTAAATAAAAAATCTCATTGCCGGTTGTGGGGATACCAGCTCATGAACTATAGGTCAGGGAGTTCCCAGAGGTCCCCAGAAGAATACAGGCCACTTTCTTGTACCGTCGCTAAATGGCATGACTCTACTGAAGGTGCAATGTACTTTAGTTGCAGAACATAGAGAAACCAACCTGGACCTGACTTGGAAACTTCCCCCCTGCTACTTCCCAGTACTAAAAGGGCCATGCAGTCCAATGGGCAGGGAGAGCCATCCCCTGATGACATACCCCGTGCTGGACCAGCATGCTGGAAGACACGCCAGGCAAGATGGGCCCAGTGGTGACATAGTGGCATCACTGTTGGGGAGGGTAGCCAACTACTTTTACATTGCTTTGGGGCCTGCTACATAAAAGAAAATTCATGCCTTGTCCTGTTAAGCAGGTCCAAAGGTCATGGCCACAGAGACTAGAGTCCCTAAATGAAGTTTATTACTGCTGTTTCGCAAAATGTACATGTTGCCGAGCTGCCCTTGAAAGTTCTATGTTTACACCCATGACCTGTGCTGCTCTCAGCCTTGGTCAGAGAAGCTTCCTTTCTGCAGTGGGAGCGGTGGAAACTGTTAATGCAGGGACTCACGACCGGTCAACATGCTGAGAGTAAGCGACAGTAGAGCTCTCGTTCCTAAACGGGACACGAATATCACATACTGCCTTCTTTATGGCCGAGGCACAGAGACCATTCCCAGGGAGGGCAGAGAGAACGTGAGAGGTGGAGGTTTTGGAGGAGTAATGGGTAACACTGCCTTCTGGGCCTCAAATGACCAGTTCCTCATCTGAATTCACAGCAGCTCTAGGGACCTGCACAAGATTAAGGCCATCAACTACTCCAGCACGACTGGGCAAAGGGCACACGAGGTTCCACCCTTGAGGGGCTCCTGGCAATTAATGCCAACTGAAGAAGGCAGAGTCATTTTTCCTCAGGGATGTGGCCACTGGTAAGTTTTCCATGGACCAATAAATAACCCTACACCATCTAGGACCTAGCAAACGGGATTAAACTCAGCGAGGGGAAGGGGAGCCAGAGAGAATGGGAGTGGAGTTGGAAGGAAGAGTCCTATAGGGAGGGGTGTGGGCACAAAAAAAGGATGGGGGAGGGTGAATATGATCAAATCACATGTGGATGAAGTTGTCACAAAAATCAGAAAGCCTTTGGGAAGGTGTGCATGGATTATAGGCAAATCCTATGACATCATTTATAAGGAACTTGTACCTCTGGCTCTCGGAGTCAGATCAATGAGAATCTTGAAGGCTGCACTCCACAGATACTGAAGGGTGACAGACGGCACATAAACAGACAGCCTTACATGCACGTTCAGGCATAATCACTGCAACCCAGTAGTACTACTCAATTGATTTAGCTTAAGTTCTCCCTTCTCTACTACTGAGAAATACCTGAAATCTATTTGTCTCCTTCAACTCTCCACATAAGTTACGGCAGATTACTGTGGCCTCCCCACCGTGTACGAGGTTGCTTTCCTTACCACACTGGGGTCCCTATTCCAAGCCTTAGCCGCTTTCATGGACTCACTATCTCCCTTCATGGACTCTTCCCAGGCTCTGGAGGCTCCAAATGAATTCATGAAGCTACCCCCGCCCTGCACAGGGCTGGGAGCTCCCTCTTCCAAGACACGTCTTCATTTCAGCATTCCTTATCAAGATCAAGGAAAATTAATAGGGAAAGGGGAATTGATGAGGAGTCAAATCCTACAGCTGAAAACGTGGGAAAGGTACATCTCAGCTTGGGTGCAGCAGGCTCGCACTCCTTACTTATCAAGGAAAACCATTAAGCTTGAAGCTGTCTGAATGCAAACCGAATGGCACCTCTCCAAGGCCGGTGCTATGCAGGCTCGGTAAAGAGCATGAGATTCAGAAACCGGACTGACAGAAACTGCTCAGCTTTTCTTCACTCGGTTGTGGGATGGCTTTATGAGCTTCCTAGATGATATCAAGAAACCAGAGAAAGAGCCTCCAGCCAGCTCCGACTTAATAGAACCATCTGTGGTGTCTGTTCTTATTAATTAAGCACTCAGGTGTGTGGGATCTTCTCGCTGGGTGGCAGCGTCTTGCTCAAGATGTCCTAGGACCACGGGGAGCCCAGGATGGCCCTCGTATGTGCATGACGAAAGCCGCACTTACTTCAACTCTGCTCTCTCTTCTGCCATTCAAGAATCTGAACACAATGTAAACTGTGGCTGATGCCATAGACAACTCCGTTCTGCCGTCCATAACTGACTCTTGATTTGCAGTGTCTCCCAGGAGATATCACCATATGCAGGAAAGAGCATAGATGCAGATCTAGGCAAACACAGTTGAAAGCAGTTTAAATAAAACTTTATTTCCTTCTATATAGTACAGCATTAAAACTTATGCTTATTCGAAATTATATTTATTTTGCTAATCTGCTGTGATGAGGGTGAGGTGATATAAGTATAAAACAGAGGGACTAGTTGAACACTAATATGGGGGGTGTTTTTTATTTTTACTTCTGACTTTACAAATGCATGGCCTTGATCCGAGAATACTCAAGGCATCCAACTGCCCAAGGGAAGAAGATTAAGATTTCTATAAAAGGACCACAAAACAAAATTAACAACAAAATGACAAATGCCCAGCTTCTGCCATTTAAATTATGGTTTGGCTTAGAACATGATTTAGTTTCAACGAAGCAAAACATTTAGAACTTTGAGAAACATTAGAAATCTGGTTTAAATGAAGCAAAACAAAAGCCTTTCTGGCAAGGCTTTTCACACACACACACACACACACACACACACACACACACACACACACACACGTGCGCGCCAAATTCATCTACTTTTATTTTCTTTAGTGTGCTTGGTTGAACCATAGAGTTTTATATAAGAGGCAAAGAGAGCAGGAGAATAGGAAGAAGCTTCTTTTTGGCATCTCTGAGGCAATCCTGTGAAGGACAGGGAGTGAGAGAGTGAAGTGGCCAGACGGATGCCACAGTACAGGTGTGGAATTCATGCTTATTTGTCTCAGAAAAGGACACCTTCTAGAAAGCCACGCACCACTCAAGAGGCAATCCATCCATCCTCATCCTGCAAAGTAAAGCCTTGAAGTTTAGCTTCCCAGGCCATTGTCCGTTCCCACATGACGAGGACCCTGTTGGGGCCCAGAGCAGTGGCTGGGGAGACTACCAGGACGAGGAGAGTGACCTGCAGCAGACGCTAAGGATGAGCCATCAAGCCAGACCACCATGTGGAAGAGAAGAAACTCTGTGGGGGTCAGCAGGCTGAAGGACACAAGGAGAAGCCGGGTCATGACAGCTCAGGAGCATCGCCACAGCACCCTCATAACCTGTGTGTTCGCTAACCCCGACCAGCATTCAAAACTGGTTAAGTGACATCTCCTTAGAAGCCAGCAGATGTGGCATCTCACACTTCAAATCTAACCCCTTCCACACCAAAGGTTGTATATCCATCCATGCCTTACCATGGAGAGAGGATATCTGAGAGACAGAAAGAATGTTTTCACCCAAAACTACTTAGTCTAAAAGGCCGTATTGATTTGGAGGGTGAGAGTAAGGTGACCCACCTTTGAGGTTTAGTAGTTTGTTTTTCTCCACTGTTGACAGAGAGAGAGGGGTGAGCTCTAAAGTTTCTATCCACTCTTGAAGACAGAGTGTTTGCTCCCAGTCCATGCACTGCTTGGTCACGGGCCAGTGTTAGACCCTATTCAGTCCCAATGACTTCCATCAAAATAAGCAGCAGAGAAAGCAAGAACAGGGTCCAAGCACAGCCAAGTCGTGTTCTAGGAGTGCTTATTAACAGCCCATCTGTCATGGGCTCCTCTGCCAACTGCATGTGCCTCTGGTGGCCAAGGACTGGAGACTCGGGGAAGGCTGGAAGGTTGTAAAATAAACAAGCCTCTTCTCTTTTCTTCAAGGACTGGTGTTAAGACTGTTGAGTTTCAGACACACACACAAACACACAGACACACACAAACACACACATACACACACAAACACACATTCATACACAAACAAACACATATACAAAAACACAAATACACACACATATACACAGATACACAAACACAAATACACGCACACAGACACACACAAACACATCCACAAAGCATAAACAATCACACACACAAAGACACACACAAACATACAAATACACACACACAGAACCAGCAAGGAAGTCTTGTCTATGGCTATTTCAGAAATCCTTGGTCATCTTTCCTTCCGTGGGATAGTATCAGACAGCTCATTTTCACTTGTCTCAGGAGATGACAAGAGGGCCAGGCCTATGGCCACATGGTAACAGTCCCTTACATTGAAACAGAGTCCTGTATGCAATTGAATTCTTGGAATTAGGATCAAACAGAGAAATCAAAATAAAACACAAAGGCCAAACAGCAGGAAGGAGAAGATCTGTGCCTTGTGTTTGGTGCCTCCTGGAGCTGCGTCCTAAGCTCTCAGTGACTCAGCTGGAGACACTGCCCCACCAAGACAATGCCTTTAGTGTGCTTGGGATACAAGCTGTGTTTCATTTTAAACGAAGCTGGTTAGAAGTGTATATGTCTTATTTACCAACAAGGCCTAATTGCTCGCTCCTCTGTGCTGCTGTTGCTCAGGCACCAAAGTCTGTATAAAAACAGCCCCACTCTAAAGGGGAAATCAGGATTTTCCTACCGGCAGCTCTCCTCTTGGCTAATTAGATGGTAGTAGGCAGGAAAAGGTTTGCCATGCTCTCTAGAAGAATGTGTTATTAGGGGCAGCGTTGTATCCGAAAAACACTACATACCTCATCTTCCGGTCTGTGCTCGCCATCCGGACATTTTCAGCAAATGGATAGGAATCTTCTAAAAAGTGGCCCCCAATTCATCAATAAAGACAAAAGTCTCCTGACAAAAACTGCTTTTCCAGTGTCGTTGGGGAATCACAACTTGGAAGACAAATACAGGTGATCACGTCACGTGACAGCTCTCTCACACTGGAGCTGCCCTCAGGTCAGTTAAGCTTAAGAAGATTAACTTCTCAGAGACTCATCCGTGTAAGAGAGGGGTAACAGCTTTTTAACATTAATTTTAAGATAACAGCTAAAATGTTGACGAAAAGAAATAAAAACTAACCATTGCCACTAGACACCTGTCAGGATGCATGAAATTCAGGACACAAGTAACACGGACCCAAGGAGATGGAGCAAGAGTGGCATTTGGGGGGGATTGTCCGGCTGCTACAGAATTAAATGTGCTCTCATTAAACTGGTAATCACATTTGATGGAACTTACCCGAAAGTAAAGACCAAAATTATACACAAATGTGCAAAGCAGCTTTATTCATAATTGCTAAGACTTGGAAGTAGCCAAGACGTCCTTCAGTGGGCAAATGTGAAAATAAACAAGTACATACAGATAGCGGAGTACTAAAAAGAGATAGGGTGCCGTGCATGAAAAGACATGGAGGATCCTCAAGTACATTTTACTAAATCAAGAAGACACCGAGGAAAGGTGATTCCTACTAAGCGACACTCTGGGAAAAGCAAAACTATAGACATATATGGAGAAAGCAACATGATTGGCAGTTGTCAGGGGTCAGAGTGAAGGGGGGATGAGCAGGCAGAACACAGTTTTAAGACAGAAAAAGGCTATTGTTGATGCTGTTATGAGTGGCTACACATCAAAACCCATAGGGTGCCCATTACCAGCAGTAGCCCTAATGTAAAATACGGACTTGGCTGATAATGGCATGCCTGTATGGGTTCCTCGGTAGTACCAATGCATGCTGTAGGTGGGTGTTTCATGGAAAGAGAGGTTATGCATGTTTGGGGGTTGAAGGTCTATGCATACCTCCGTACTTTCCCTCTTGGTTTTGTTCTGTAGAAAAAGAAGGTCTTTATGAAGAACTAGCTCTCAGCTCCTAGCTCGTACACTTTCCCCCTCTGTTTCCTGACTTTAAAAGGGAAGGAGTGTTCTAATCGATGGCTCTGTTTTGGTTTTAAAGTCTCAGATAAAGAAACTTCCATTACAATGACTTAGCTTCAGAAAGCACCTCAGGTTTCTTCTAATTGGATTAAGATAAGAAGAAAGATTGAACCGCTTAAGCCACACACTGAAAAATAAGTGCTCAGCACCAAATACACCTGCCGTTACCTCCATCCTTCCAGAAACCTCAAAATGTCTGCTAAAAAATCAGGGAGATGTGATGAAAAACCCCTTCAGCTCCCTGTCTGTGTCTATGGGTGTGGGGATGCAATACCGTAAGAGTCATTTTAAAATCACGCCAGCAATACAGAGACTTCCAGGGAGCGCTCTCAGCTTTTGCTTTAGGGATGGATTCCTATAAGTAGGACATGATGGTGGTCCCGAGATTGAATTGTCTTAAGGTGCCGTTTCATTTCTCATTTTGCTAATGGAGTTGTTCACCCCTTTCTGTTTGAGAGAAATAATTTCCTGCAGAAACCTGGCACCCACTTACAGAAAAGGATTAATTTGACGCACAGACTCATAATTTGGATGCACGAATCTGTAGTCATATCTTGTTATTTTTATTTCACTTCTCTTGTGAATAAATAGAAAGGGGTTTTGAATATTCCATTGATAGGAAAACAATATCATAATACCAGAACATTGTTTTTACTTTTCTTTTAACATTTAAAAAACTTCACTTGCTTGGTGTATTGGGAGGGGTGGATGCCACCGTGTGAGTATGAAGCCAGAGGATAATGTTGGGGAGTCACTTCTCTCCTTAAACCATGTGGGTCCAGGTATTGGACAGATTGTCTGACTTAGCTAAAAGCACCTTTACCCACTGAACCATCTCGCTGGCCTCAAAACATCCTTTGAAGTCAGTGATCATGTTGGGAAAATGCCTTGTATATACAACTCAGCAAATGTAAATAAGTAGAGATCCAGTTTATTTAGGTCCAACTGAATCCTGTGTTTAAAAGAATAGCTATGATTTAAGAAGAAAATATGAGAATAGAAGTCTGTCAAAAAAAAACCCTGAAAGATACATATTTCATGTAGTTTTTAAAAAAAAATGGTGCTGAAACTATTATCTAAAGCAGCAGTTCTCAGTCCAAAAATAGAGACCTCCACAGGGGTTGTATATCAGATATTTTGCATACCCAATATTTACATTATAATTCATAACAGTTGCAAAAGTGCAGTTACAAAGTAGCAACAGAATAATTTTATGGTGGGGGGATCACCACCACATGACGAACTGTATTAGGAAGGTTGAGAACCACTGATCTAGAGTATAAGAAACAGTTAGTATCAAAGGATACACTCTTCCTTACCCTTTTTTATCTAAGGCCCTATTTTTTCTATCTAAAAGGAAAACGAACAAAAAAGTCCCCTCATGTTGGTGATTTCCGGAATGGATGTAATCAAGTAACTTCAGGCTGGCTGTTAGAGTGCCAGAGACACAATGCCTGCTTCTACCGATGTACCCACTGCATCCCTTCCCTTGACATCAGCCACTGTCATGCAACAGCTCTCACCACTGAGCAGCTCACTCGGTGATCCCCTGTGCGACACATGTGGTTTCATTGTCCCGACCCGATGCAGTTCTCTCGTGGGCAGCAGGGTCTTTGGTAGAGTGCTGGACACCATCTAGGGAAAAATGTTCTTTAAGCTTCCAACAATCCAGCTTTTTTAACCACAGTCAAGAACTTCCCAGCTTAGCCATAATGGTACCTGTTCTCTCTCTCTCTCTCTCTCTCTCTCTCTCACACACACACACACACACACACATCTGCTCAGCATGGTTCTCACACTTTGTTGTGGTTGGTATTTGCTATTTTCTAAATACCTCTCCCACTCCTTGTTTCATTTGCAAAATCTCCTTCCATTCTGCTTGACTGCTTCTCTCACCCCCACTTTTTTCCACGCTACAAGCAAGTGGTTTGTTCTCCATGAAGAATTTTCTCAATATATGTCAATCACTGCTTGTATATAAGTGGTCCTTTCCTTTGTATTCTATTGACAGCAAGCTGACACTTGAATGGAGAGACTATGATAGTCTCTCTCTCTCTCTCTCTCTCTCTCTCTCTCTCTCTCGTGAATATGTGTGTGTGTGTGTGTGTGTGTGTAAGCCAAAGAGCCACAAAGGAGGCCAATTGTCATCCTTCTCAGTTGGTCTTGGATTTTTGGTTTGGGTTGGTTTGGCTTTTGTAGACAGGGTATCTCACTGAATCTGGAATTTACGAATTAGGAAACACTGGCTGCCCAGCAAGACTCCAGCTTCTACCTGTCTCTGCCTCCCCAGATCTGGGGAACCATCATGCCTGACCGGTTGCTGCACTCTGAAGACCTGAAGTCCCTCAGCAAAGACTTCTTAAGATATCCCTCCATCGACTTCCATATTGTTATATTTATGGCATCTGAAGTTGCACCAGCTAGCCAGTGCTTTGTCCCTCTCATCCAGGGGTCCTCAGCCTTCCTAAAACTGTGACCCCTTAATGCAGTTTCTCATGCTGTGGTGACCTCCAACCATAAAATTATTTTCATTGCCACTTTATGATTGTAACTGTGCTACTGTTATGAATAATAATATCTGTGTTTTCCGATGGTCTTAGGTGACCCCTGTGAAAGGGTCATTCAATCCCACAAGTGGCACCCACATGTAGCATGAGGGGCCTGCTTGTTGGGGTTTCTGTCCCGCCCAGTACCCCAACAAGCCAGCAAGTCCCAAGGAAAATCACACACAAGATTCCATAAGGTTATAAACTGATTGGCTCATTAGGTCAGGCTTCTTGTTAACTCTTATAACTTATATTAACCCATTATTCTCATCTATGTTAGCCATAATGGCTCCGTACCTTTCTCTGCTGGGCAAGTTACATGCTGCCTCTTCAGTGGTCTGTACAGGAATGGCTGAGAGAGAGCTTCTGCTTCTAGAATACTCCCAGTCTCTTTGCTCCACCCCTACTTCCTGTCTGGCTTTCCCGCCTATACTGCCTGCCTGGCCAATCAGCGTTTTATTAAAATATGATTGACAGAATACAGATAATTCTCCCGCACCACCCACAGATTGGGAGCTGCTGCCCTAAGTGGTTCTATAGAGAAAGGAGTTCGAACTGTCCTACAAATAGAAGAAAAGAAGAAAGGGACAATTGCTCAGAACACTGGTCTAAGGCCACACAGCTAACAAATGGCAATGGTGGGATTCGGTAAGACCTCAAGCCAACCCTGGGGCCCACTCTTTTATCTACTTCATGATTTCTAGATTCTTAAATGGAAAGATGGAAGAAACTTCCGTTAGCCAACCATGGAGACAGAGATTTCCATTGGTATTACTTCACCTATCAGTGAGGTAAATGGTGTGACCCATGTTCTGCCTGTGAGAACTAAGGTTCACCATAAACATTTTCTCATAAGTGACTTACTGTGGAGCAGGTGACGCATGGAAGCTGAATAAGCCAAATAGATGATTAGGTGACACAGACAATAAGGAAATTTTTAATTATCCTACAGGAAAGTGGGCAAAGAGAAGAAAAGATTACTCAGCAAGGAAGGAAACAGAATGACCAAAAACACAAGAAAAGATGCTTGACCTTATTAGCATTAAGGAGAATATAGTTAAAATATGGAATACTCTTTCCAGCCCATTAAAATGCCAAAAATGAAAATGCCTACCAATCCCAAATGCTATAATGTTAAGAAGTTTTACATAAGGGTGTTGGAACTGAAATCAGCCCAGCCATTTTGGAAAGACATTTTGTAATGCTTATGTGTCCAAGCTGTTTCATTTCTGAGAGTACACGTCTGGTGATTTGGATGAGATGTCCTCTTGGACATCTGAAAATACTTGGTTCCTGGTTGGTGGCACTGTTGGGGAATTTTAAGAGGTGGGGCCATGCTGGAGCAAGTATGTCACTGGAGGTGGTTCTGACATTTGGAGTTGGCAGCCCAGGTATGAGATCTCAACTATTCCTGCCACTAAGCCTGCCTGTATCATACTTCCCTGCCTTGATGATGACAGACTCTTAGCCCCGTGGAAGCTTAAATCCCAAAAAGCTGTCCTCAGGCTGTTGATGGGATGCACTTCCTCAACACTGTAGAATCCTGACATCTTATTTTGCCAGTTTGCCTCGCAGAAAGACAGTCTGTTATGGTGGGTCTGTGATCCCCAGACCTTGCTAATAATGGCTCCCTTATTGGCCTAGTCTCTCTCAACCTAATCTTCCATTTGGTAAAATTAAACTCTGTTTACTAGAGACTTTAATTGTAGATAGACAACTTCTAACCTCTGCTATAGAATGTAGCCTAATCAAAAGAGCTATCTCCCATCATCTGGGCCACCTTCCATAGATCAGAAACAAGTCAAAGTGTATGTGGCTCCGGAGTAGGGTCCCATCCAAGGGTGTGTAAGACTGGCAGCTCCACTATGGTACATCCAACACATAGAGCTATGACTTGGCATAACGTCTTCTTCTTCTTCTTCTTCTTCTTCTTCTTCTTCTTCTTCTTCTTCTTCTTCTTCTTCTTCTTCTTCTTCTTCTTCTTCTTTTTCTTCTTCTCCTCCTTCCCCTCCCCCCCTCTTCCTCTCCCTCTCCCCCTCCCCTCTTTCCCTCCCCCTCCTCTCCTCCTCTTCCTCTTCATCCTTCTCCTTCTTCTTCCTCCTCCTCTTCCTCCTTCTCTTTCTTCTTCTTCCTCCTCCTTCTCTTCCTCCTTCTTCTTCCTGCTTCTCCTTCTTCTTCTTCTTTCTCCTCCTCTTCCCCCTCCCCTCTCCAAAAACCAGAACCCAGGAGCTGGAAAATTTTCTCTCTGGTTAAGAGTGGGTATTACTCTTACAGGGGACATGAGTTTGACAGCACCCAAGTAGGGCAGCTCACAACTACCTGCAGCTCCAGCTACAGAGGAGCTGATGCCTCTGGCTTCTATGGGCACTGCACTCACAGGCACACAGAACCTCCACATACATCATTAAAAGTAAAACTAAAATTTTTTTAAAAAATAGATCCCAAATTTTAACATTTGCTTCATTTCGATGCTGCATACACAGGTACCCGTTCCATTATTCTGGATTTTTAAAATTGACGTAGTTCTGGATGCAAGCAACAACTTTTAAATGAACTCACTGACAAAGGACAGCTTAGAAGAGCCATGGGTACGCAAAGGGAGGAAATTGCAGGAAGAGGCCGGCCTTGCGAACACCATCGTGCTGCTGGCACACCTGATTCTGAGAACTCTAGAGCTCCTCTGGATTATCGGGCTCCGCAAAAGACCAGTGAGGTTGTGGATCTGATGTCTGCCCTTCACACCACTTAACCCAATGCGTGTATGCTACATTTTCATCTGATGAAGCAAGAGACAAACTCCCCAAACCCCCAGCTGCTGACGTTCACAGCTGAACAGCATCAGGACTCTTCCACAGGTACCATCTAAGAGCAACTGTAAATCCAGGACAGCCAGAACCCAGCATTGCTAAACACATTTTCTTTGTTTGGTTTGTATTCCAGAAAAAAAAGAAAATGAACTCTATCCTTAGTAATTTGTTGACTAAGGGACAAGAAATTGAGGGTACCGGGCAGACAGTTCATCAAAAGCAGCTTAATTCTAACTGCGCAAACTCTAAACATGCACTCTTCCCTCGGAGTTAGAGAAGTGTGGCAAGTTTTAACAAGAGCGGAACAGACTGGAGGTTCGAGTTATGTAAACATATTTGGTGCCAAGAGAAAACACAGAAGAATGATTTAAACAACTCTGAAACAGAGGGTCTGAGGAAATGTCTTCGGGGAGTTGAGAAAGCAGTCCCTTTCTCGAAAGGTAGAGAATGGTGAAGATACAACCTTCGCTTTGATGTTTCCAGACTCTTCTTTTTGATCCCTTACTCATCTTACACGAATTTGTAATTTTTTGTACGTAATAATTATTTTTATCTCTCTCAATAAAATCCAACAAAAACAAACAGCATATTTGAAAGTCTATTTTTCAAGACAGGATTTCTCTGTGTAGTCCTGGCTGTCCTGGAACTTACTCTGGCCAGGCTGACCTCGAACTCACAGAGATCTGGCTGGCACTGTCTCCAGAGTGTGCACAGCCACCACCATCACTGACTGGCCTTCTCTATAGAAAGTTTTGACTCAGCCTTCTTCCATTTTTATGGTGATTAAGGATGCCAAAGTACTATCTCTAACCAAGATTGGGACCTAGAGAAAATCATGCATGCTGGCTTCTTATGATTTTTATAAGCTATATTCTTAGTTTGAATAAGACTGATATAGATTAGAAGACTAAGTGGTAGGGGTTGCAGTGGTAATGGCTCAGTGATTAAGCGTGTGTTCTAGCCATTTGTGGTGGCACATGCCAGTAGAATTTTCTGAAGGAGGCAGGGTGAAAAAAAATGTGTACTGTTCTTTTGCGGATTTCAAGTTGGGTTCCCAGCACACTCAATTGCCTGTAATTTCAGCTCCAGGGTGACCCAAGGACCTCATCTGAGTTTGACAGACACTTGCCCTTACCTGAATATATACACATAAATATCCATAATTAAATATTTAAAATTTTAAGAAAAAGAAGGGTTAACAACACATCATGGTGGCAAGTACAGCCACTGAGTCAGGCCATCTCATTCCATTTTTAAGGCTCAGACATCCGAGACCAGCTAGAGGAGGCTGTCATCAACGTGTTTGCCAAGTCTGCAGGTGTCTGAAGCTCGACTGGGCTGTAGAGTCTGCTTCCAAGATGGTGTACACATGCAGGTGTGGTGGTTTGGATAAGAATGCAACCCCCGTGGATATATATGTTTGAATGCTTACTCATCAGGGAGTGGCACTATTTGGCAGATGTTAGGAGGTATGGTCTTGTTGGAATAGGTATGTTATAGAGGGATTATGTCACTCGGGGTGGGCTTTGGGGTTTCAGAAGCCCGAGCCAGGCCCAGTGAGTCACTCTCTCTTTCCTGCTGCCTGCAGAACCAGATGTCCAACTCTCCCCTTCTCCAGCACCATGTCTTCCTGTGTGCCATCACACTTCCCATCGTGAGGATAATGGGCTAAAACTCAGAAACTGTAAGAAAGCCCTAATTAAATGCTTTTATTAAGAAGAGTTGCCATGGTGTCGTGGTATCCCCTCACAGCAATAGAACACTGACTAAGACAACGGGGTATAGGAAGGAAGCTGCCACCTCTCACAGGAGGACAGAGGACCTCAGTTCCAATCTGAGCCACTACAGGGACGGTGTTTCTTCACGATGTGATTTTGCTGGCTTCCTCCAGAGAGGGCAAACCATCTTAGGGACCTAGTACAGAAGAACAGAGTCTTACTCGATTAAACTGCTGGGGTCAATAGTAGGACTTGTGAAGAATTCCATTGTTCACACTGACCAGAATGATCTGGGAAGGACAAGTATGAGTCATAATGCAGGTGCCATTGTAGAGGCAGGCCACCAGGGCTTCCACATATAAAGAACTGTTGATGGGAGCTTCTGTGTTCGTCTCTGCTTGCTTTAAGTGTTTCCTTTACCCCAGCATAACCTACTTCATATTATACTTTTTATTGAAAATAATTTTTCATACAATATATTCCGACCATGGTTCCTCCTCCCTTGTGTTACCTTTTGTAATTAAAAAAAATCAAGGAATCAAACATTACAATATAAAGGTGGGGCACGGAACTAAGCAGAGAGTTAAAAGATGAAGCTCAAATGGCTGAGAAATGTTTAAAGAAATGTTCAACATTAGGGCAATGCAAAATAAAAGTACTTTGAGATTTCATCTTACCCCACTCAGATGGCCAAGATCAATAAAGCAGATGACAGCTCATGCTGGTGAGAACATAGGAAAAAGACAGCACTTACTCATTGCTTATGGGAGTGCAAACTTGTACAACCACTATGGAAATCAGTGTGGTGGTTTCCCAG